AAGGATCTACATATAACCTCCTCCGTGGGGGATGGACAACAGAAAAGTGGGTGAAGGGAGACATTGGACAGTGACAGGGGTCCTCAAACTATTTAAACAGGGGGCCAGTTCACTGTCCCTCAGACCATTGGCGGGCCAGACTATAGTTAAAAAAAACAAAACTATGAACAAACTCCTATTCACACTGGACGAGTCGGCTGCTAAGCAGGACAGGCAGCGGTGGCAAAAACACCGGTGAGTCGGATAAATGTCCTCGGCAGGCCGCATGTGGCCCACGGGGCCGTAGTTTGAGGACCCCTGGTGTAAGATATGACAACAACAACAAAAGATATGACAAAAAATAATAATTTATAAACCATCAAGTGTTCATGAGGGAGGGGCGAGTGGGGAGGGAGGGGGAAAATGAGGAGCTGATACCAAGAGCTCAAGTAGAAAGCAAATGTTTTGAGAATGATGGTGGCAACAAATGTACAAATGTGCTTGACTCAATGGATGGATGGATTGTGATGAGAGTTGTATGAGCCCCCAATAAAATGATTTTAAAAAAAGAATATTACACATATCAAGAAAAATATACTATACATAGTCATACCGCTCATCTCAAAATGGTGACAGTCTCTTAGAAAACTCCCCGGGTCTGTGGCTCCTTCTTCTTTTCCCACCCCCTTTCCATTCTTACCTCCCTGCCTCTCTGCTTCCTCACTCCCCAGCCCTGGCCTAATCATAGTCTTCAAAGTCATTTCCTTTGGTCTGAAACCATTTTTCCCCTTTATAATAATGGTGTCATGAAATATTTATGAGAGTGACTAACATTGCTGAGCATAATATCTTCCAATTTTGTCCATGTCATGAGGTATTTGACAGACTTGTTATTTTTTTTTTTTTAAGGAGGCACACTATTCCACTGTGTATATTTATCGGTTTTTATCCATTCCTCCATAGACAGGGTGTTTGATGGTTTCCTTCTTTTTACTATTATAGAAATTGCTGCACCAAATATGAGCGTGCTTTTACTTGTTCTTTTTTTCTCAGTTTTATTGGCACATAATCCACATCATGCAATTCAATCATTCAGTCATGTCAAGAATTGTACAATCAAAAAAAATTGTACAATCATTACCACAGTCAATTTCAGAACATTTCAATCTCCCCGCCCCCCACTGCCATGGCTATATGGCCTTTAAAATGAGCTTTGTAACCACATTCAGTTCTAGTGTTCCCTCCCCTCCCACCTTCACTGTTTACTCCTGAAATCCCCTCCCCCTCCCCATCTCCCCTCCTACCCATCCCACATCAATTACAAACCCTTGCATTAGTTATTGTCTCTATGCATCCACACATCTGTGCTTCATATGCTGGTAAACCCAACAGAAACAATAAAGAACGAAATGAAGTAGCAGGATGAAA